TTTGTTATTTCAGAGATATCAAATCATATATTAGACTATGGAAGTCCGAACTAATGAAATCAACCGTGAAACATTTTCAACCACCTCCGAATAACAATTATATTGATCAATAAAACGTGAAACGAAATTTTAATAAAATAAAAATAAGTAAACATTCAAAACTGAACAATTAAAAAGGAAAAAAAATGAATTGGGTTTCAAACCAAGTTGAGTTAGGTCCAAAGTGAGTGGGTCTATTCGACTCTCCACCGCAACCCGCAAGGGTTTATTGTGGCTCATACCTATTCACACTCGACCAAATAAACTCAGCTTCTCAACGAAGCCGATTAGTTTATATGGTGAGTGATTTTTTAGGTCAGATGGTAAGAGTATGGTTTTGCCGAACTCTAAAAACTTGATTTAGTCCCCAACGGGGCAGGCACAAAGTATGTGCTCTGCTGTTTCATCATTTTCCAAACCGAAGCTACACACACTGTCTTCCGACAGTCCGGGTGTCTGCAAATGATGATTCAAATGACAAAGACCTGTAAGAAGGCCTGTTAGACATCGTAGTTCATCCCTACTGTATTAAGCTTCGAAGGGTAAATAAACGCCTTGGAGTGAGCCAATCCTGGAATATTCTGCCAGAAGTCCATAAATCTTCTTGCCATCCAGGTGTTCCATTAAGGCAAAGGCACCATCATGTACAAGGGAGTCAGCAGCCTCATTGCCTTCCAGGCCAGTATGGCCAGGAATTCAGAATAGAGACAATCTGTTAAGTCTTTCTATCGAGGAGAGTCGTTTTTGGCAAATTGCAACCAATTTAGACGCTGCTCGGTAGGAGCCAAGAGCTCCCAACGCCGCTTGACTGTCCGAGAATATTTTTATTGACTCGTGTATGAGGTTGGATTCTTCCAATCTCTCCGCACACAATTCAATAGTGTAAATTTCCACTAGAAATACAGTCGCATAGGTTCCTAGGCAGATTGATATCTCTGTCCTGGGTCTGGGACAGAAAACACCTGCACCTGAACCGGAGGGTGTTTTTGATCCATCTGTGAACCAACAACTATATGTTCAAACCAAGTTACTTCACGAAGTTTCGATTTCCAGTATTCATAATCGTCTTTTTTCGGGTGATGACTCGACTATTCCTCCGAGAGATGACTATTTATAGGTCATTCGAACGCTTTCACCTATCCCTCTCTGCTCCTTCTTTCCTCTCTCCGCTTCGCCGGTTTAGCGGGAGTTGACTGTTTTCCGTTTGATTGAAGGTTTCCATATATTGCGTATCTCTACGCTAGCTTGGCTGAATGCATCGTTTTACAACATATATGCAGCTCCGTTGAAGTTCCTCCTAAACCAGTGTTTCTCCCTATGGATGTTCTCAGCTTGGGACCACTTGATGTTATGTTGATGAGTCCAAACATGATCTGCTATTCCCGATTTGCTGGTTCCTCCTCGCTGTGTGTGTTTCTTGTGCTCGGCAATGCGGACTTTCAATGGCCTCTTAGTTTCACCGATATAGGATTTGACGCACTCACAGGGTATCCGGTAAATGCAATTCTTCAAATCGCAGTCCACGTTTGGTGTTTCTGAATCTGAAGCAGGTTCTGATGTTGTACTTGGACCCAATTCTTCTTATCCTCTCTTAATTCTCTGATGTAGGAAAGTGTCAGCACTGGTTGTTGACGGCTTCTCTTTCTTGCGAGGCTCGTGCTGTCTTCTAGCCAAAATCTGTTCCACCATCACTTTGGAGTAACCATTCCGTTGAAGATATTTTTTGATGCCTATTTCCTTCTCGAGACCCTCCTTCGTATTACAGAGCCCGAAAGCAGGACCCATTAGATTAGAGTCTTGATGATTCTTTTTTTGGAAGATTGATGGTGGTTGAATTTGTGATTCAGATACTGTCCCGTTTGAGTGGGTTTTCGGTATACAGATGTTTCCCACTTAGTGTCGTTCCTCTTCACCAACACGTCTAAGAATGGCAATTCGTTGTGGATTTCTTCTTCAATGTGATGGTGATGGAAGATTGTACGCTGCTGATGTGCTTCAGAAAGGTGTCTAATATGATTTATAATGCTTCTTCGACAGAAACGTGGGTGTAAAGGCTTTCCACGTCGAAATTGATTATTTGACCTTGCTCCGTGACTTCGAGTGCCTCTAGTAATTCGACAAAATACCCTGAATTCTTCATACCACTTGTAGTGGTTGCATAATTGAAAAATCTGGACAAGTTTTGAGTAGCTGAATTTCTGGAACTAATGGTCGGTTTGAGCGGAACACCCTTCTTGTTGATTTTGGGTAGTCCGTACAGGTGAGGTGGCTTACTATGGTGCGGTTTCAGCGATGATCTCTCCTTTTCCGAAAAATAACTTTATGTTTTTTCATAGTCTGGTACTCCCTTTCTACAGGTAGGATCTACAGGTTAGATGTTGGAACTGGTTCTCGATCCAGTTGTTCTTTGATTGATTTTCCATCTAAATACTTCTGCCTTGGTCTGACCAATAAGGAAACTGGTGTTGGGACAATGGCGAAGTTTAGACCTTTCCGTAACAAGGATTCCTCTATGACTGTTAGCGGGCGGGAACTCATGTTGATGACGTTGGCTTCTTCGTAGTTGTCCTGTTTTCGGTCTTCATTTGGGCATTGTTTCCTCACCAACATTACCCACTTCCTTTGTCGAGATTATCCATGTCTTGGCGGATCTCCGAGCACGTGCATTTTAATTGTTCAATTTTTAATTTAATGCTTATTTTTATTTTATTGTAATTACATTTGACGTTTTATTGCCTAATATAATTGTTATTTTCAGCTATTCATTTTTCAATGTAATTTGTTCTTTCAGATATTTCAAATCATATTAATGTCATATCAGCCGGAACTAGTAAAATTCAAGATCTGAATGAGCACAGATAAAGTCCTGATTGTTTCTGTTAGGTTTCAAATTCGCATGAACCATCAGTTTTACCACCGTATAGAAGTAAACACAAGTAAGTTCACTCTTCGTTATATTTGGGTCAAGATTCCTCACCTCGAATTTTATGCTCAGCCAACTTACAGCGCAACCGACTGAATCTGATGGTTTACCAAGCGAGCCGAGTTGAGGCATGGAATATTATTACAGAGTGAGTCGTTGTACCCAAATGGTGGTTTTGTATTTGTGAAAAATTCTTGTCTAGTTTCAAAATGAACAAGTGTCGAGCTGTGGGTTCCAATTGACGAAAAAATGTATGCTTTTCTAGTATTCATTATATAAGATTGAAGGAATGAACATATAACGAAAATCATAAAATAAATTGTTATAGACCATATACATGCAGACTTTTTTTATGAAATTGATTTGATGAAATTGAACTTTGCGAATAGTATATGCATCACAAGTAATGATATAAAATGACAAAACAATCGGAGTTTCACTGGAAATCCACAAAGGAAAATAATTGAATCATATTTTTTGATTTGGCTAACATGTATCTGTAGGAAAAATATTACTTCCACATTATTGTGGAAATGTCAGAAACCCAACTCCCGTTCAAATTACCAGAGCTTTCAAAAACACATATACTCTTCAGTATGTCACACAGGCAGAAGGAACTTACTGTCTAAAAGATACTAGTGATATTCTATCTAATATTACAGATGCTAACATAAATCTGTTTAAAAATCTGTTTAAAATCTGTTTTTCCGTTAATCAGCTGTCGCCCCCATACGAACGACAACTCTCAGAAGTTGATTCCTAACACAGTGAAGATTCTTGTGGAAGTTCCAAAAAATCCCTATAAACCTTTGAGAGAAGAGACAAACGATTATAGAACTCTAGCCATTCCCGAAGGCAACAGCTTGGGCTATGTTTGTGGATATCTTTTGGGAAAACATTGATGTAAAGTATGTCCAAATTTTGGCACGGTGGCTAGTATCACACCGAATGAAACAAATGTATATAGTTATTTCAAGGCATACAGTGATATAGGAAGCTAAATAGTTTGTAAATTCATATATGCCTCCAGATTCATTTTTATAAAGTATCATTCATCTAGTGACAGAATTTCCTTATCATTTTTATAATTTGTGCCACTGATTGCATAGGAAACCAGCTCAAAACAAAGTTTTCAAAAATCAACATTTCTCACCCTTGTGATATTTTTCATTAGGATTATTCATTTTCTTTTTTCACAAGGGTAAGAATTTATTATACTTTGAAATTTGCCAATAGAAATTTGAAAACAAATGTTTAAAAAATCAAAAACTCATCATTCTGAAAAACCTTTTGAATAGATTAGCATAAGTTTTTGACCTAAATTGTATAATCTCACCTTGTTTAAAAACAAATTCAAAAACTCTCAATATCTTATGAACGATCAAACTGAATTGAATAATTCGCCATTATTGAATCTGTTCATTTCCAGGTAAAAATAGTTAGGTATATTCACGGTACTTTCGAAAAAGTTATTGATATAGTTGAAGAATTCATACCTGACCGTTACGGGTTAGAGTATGAAATGGTTGTAATTTGAAAGCTATTGTATAGCGAAACACTGTATTATTCAATGAATTTTCCATTGGATTATTCATTTTCTCTTTTCACAAGGGTAAGAATTTATTATACTTTGACAATAGAAATTTGAAAACAAATGTTAAAAAACTCAAAAACTCAACATTCTGGAAAACCTTTAGAATAGATTAGTTTTTGACCTAAATTGTATAATCTTACTTTACAAAATATACGTCTATTTCACCACCTTGTCTTATTTTTTATCAATTCCTAAACAGTTCACAATCATATGAGATATTTATTGTGAGCTCCTCGTAGCAATGATGAAGTCAGATCATGGTCACATATTTTTTGATCGAACCTCGTGCAGAGGTGCACGATAGCTCTATACCCTCCTGCCCACCACATGCCAGCAAAACATAAAACCTCGACACAATACATCAAAGACGCAGACCGGGAGTGAATTTACTTGTGTTTATTTACATACGGTGGTTTTACTTACAGTTTTACAAACAGTAGCTACATGATTTGGGTAAGCCAAATTGACGTTGGGTCTGAAATTTGTCGAAATATAACAGTACAGATATTCACGTTGAAAAGAGAATGACGTCACGAGATAAGTTACGGCGTTGCCAACATGTGCACTGTTTCGAACTTATTTTTTTTTTGTACTGTCGAATTGTTTTATTGCTATTAACCTTACTTACTTAGTTGAAATACAATGAGTGTCACTCACCTTTTTTCATAATAAGTAATGAAAATAAAATAATTTATTAAAATTCCTTTAATTGTATATATTTTTTAATCACAACTCGTCATCATCATCGTCACAATCATCATCGAAATTGAAATTTATTATTAGAATCTGAACATCTTTCTCAACTTCTCAATCACAATATAATTTTATGTTTTGTTCGGTATGTCGAATAGTTTCAGCTCATACAGCAGGTGTAACTTTGTCTAAAGCTTCGTTCCATATAGCCCGGGATTTGTCAGCTGAAGTGTCATCTTTTCCCACATTATCCCTATATTAATTTTTTGTTAATCACCAAATATGTTCGATGGGATTAAACATGCAGTGATACGGTGGAAGACGAAGCACTTGATGCCCTTATTTTTCTGCAAGCGTATCAGCTTCATATATAGGTGGTGGTTTATTCCTACAACGTAAATTTATAATGTATTGCTTCAGCTTAAATAAAAGTCTCATTTACTTTGCAACTAAATCCACCAATTGTGGTTTAAGAAAAGTATTTTCGAAGGGAATGTTATTGTTTGATAACCATTCTTGGATATCAGCTTTCTACGATACTGTTGTTGGTGCTTTATCAAAAACANCGCCAAATATAACTTTCGGATGTCAAAGTCCTTTTTTAAAAATTAATTTTATTAACAAAAATTGATGTTAACAGTATGAGAGCAAAATTATAACTGAATTACAAAAGTATTCTTCCCATGAAGATAAGAATGCTTGCACATCAGTTTCCCAGAATCGCGAGATTCTGCTTCAGCATGGTCAGCGGTTCACATGGGAACGGGCGATATAATTCCTCCCCCCGAAGATTCAACGTAGGAGGGTCAGCGAGGAAGTTGAACCCTAGACATCTCGATATCTTGACTTGGTTTGGATGGTCCATTGGTTTTGCACCCTCTGAAGCCAATCTTCTTGTGCAGTAGGTACAAACAGATTGATACTAGGACCAAGTAGATAAACATCGTCCAAAAACTTGGGATATGTGCTACGTCTTTGAAAGATATAATCGGTTCGTTTTCCATTATTGCTGTTTTTATTGAATGAAGTTCGTCCAGGTTCAGGTCAAGTTAGATCCCTATTGTTTTGGGTGGCTCTGGCTTCCCTTCGTCCAAGTCTGGTAAGATGATTGGTTCACTATTGGTAACTTGGTAACTATTGGTAGTAGGTTCTCGATTTCGTTCTGGTTCTGGCACTTGAGTTTAGTAGTTTGTTGAGCCGGTAGGCATTTGTTTGAGTTGTCTAGTTGTCTGATGGCTGGTCTCGATAAATGCATACAATTTTTCGTTTTTTGACAAATATTTGAGGTATAACAGCCTTAAACTGATCCTTAGTTAATATCGGAATAGAAAATAGGTGATAGTAATCGAAATTTGATGGATGAGTAATTGGAATATGCAAAATATAGGTTGCAATGGTGAAGAAATGTCATTTCTTCCATTACCTCTGGAAGATAATTCATTGTCTTCGTGTATTCAGGGTTCTGGTAGGGGTTCATCTCCTGTACGTTCGGTATCAGGTTGAACTTGTAAAGAAAGATTGTCATTTTCTGTGTGACTTTTCGGAGGTAACTCGTTGTCCGTATTATTTACATGCATTTCGTTAGGGGGAATCATGATGGGAGAATATTCAGTGTTCAGGTTGGGTTCTCCAATAATCAATATATCGGAAGAGGGTTGATAATCCGGGGTTTCAAGGCAAAGACTTACTGGGTTTCCTTGACCACTGAAAGTGACACTTTGATTTGTTAGACGTTATGATTCGTCTAGTATGCCATCCAATTCCTCCCAAAAGGTTTTGGTGTCCTTAGTGTGGATTTCGACACGGGATAGAGCATCGGCGTTGGTGTTCAACTTGCCTTTTTTGTAGATTATGGTATAATCGTATTCCTCTAGTTTGATCCGCCATCCCAGCAATTTTAAGTTGGGATCCTTCAGAGAGAATAACCACTGAAGGGTTTTGTGGTCAGTGACTATATTGAACTTCCGTCCAAGTAATTTTGCTCAGAGTCATTCAGGGTCCAAGATGCGTATGCAACTGGAAGGTCTTGGCCTATAGGGCCTTGAGAAAGGACAGCTCCTAGGGCAAATTTACTTGCGTCCGTGGTGAGATTAAAAGGTTTAGAAAAGTCGGGGTACTGCAAAATCGGATCGTTGATTAACAGGTTTTTGCAGGTATTGAAACATTCCAAAAACTCTGCATTATGTTAATCAGACACTCCACCAAAAAATGTTTAACTGAAATTGGCCCCCACACGTATAACAGATTTTTTCTTCTTCCCCTTTCAGTAAGTGTTCGTGAGTATCCTTTGTATGTCCAGTACGCAAACGAGTCATTATGATTTGTTGTTTTCGTTCTTTGGGGATGTCTTTCCATGGCTTGATGTCTGTCGTATTTAATTTCTTTCAATTTCATTTTAGATATTGACCACATAGATGACCAGTAATTAGAAACCACAGTTTTCATATATGCTTTCAGGTCAACATAATAAACTCCTTCTTGTTTTTGAATGGTTTTATTGATGGTTTCACGTGCGATTTTGTCGACTCGTTCATTGCCAGAAATCCCAACATGTGACGGTACCCACATGAATTGTAGCCTTTGGAAGCTCCCGTAATTGAGTTTGTCAGTTTTGATGTGTTGAATGTACGTTTTTGTCCGTGAACTGCCAGTTGAAAGTTTCTGAAAATGGAACAAAATGGGTAAAAACGTAACTTGGTAATTTCAAACGTCAAAAAGTAACATTTTGGTAATTAAGTAACGCCAGGAATAATACAGTTCAGTCCTTTTTGTAAAATTGAATTTCATGTTTGAAAATAACTCCTTTTCATTTTTTGTGATGCATTGTGTGGAACCTTTGGTGTAGTAATTAATATTACTGGAGTTTTTTCCCAACACCAAACCGTCATTTTAACTGTTTGATAGTTTTATTTTCCTCTTGAAGATGATTACTTGGTGATCGATACACGTGTCGAGGTGGTAAAATAACGGTTTGGTGTTGGGAAAAAATTCCAGTAATATTTTTTTTAATGAAATGAATAAAAACACTCTTGTCTAATTACCACTAGTTGATTTTTATTTATACGACCGGTTTTGGGTTTGACCCCATTATCCAGTATAAAACTGTGATGTGAAGTATGAAAACTCTGTTACATCAGGAGTTTTCAGGTAAGATGTAAGGACATGCATTTGATAGACAGGTAGTTGGGCGAACCAGGATGCTAACTTCAAAATTCATCACCACTGAAAATTCCTTTCCAATTGTATAACTTCTAATAAGTCCTTATAATTATAATAAATTATGGGTAATTCTCAATATTCGTAATGAATCAAATTTCATTCGTTTTTTATAATTCCAAAATTTAGTGCGATAAAAATATTGCAAAATCGAGCCAATGTCGTTCAAATCGTGAGATAAAGTTAGCTGGAGAAATATAGAGAAAAACAGAGAGTCACATAGCGAAAAAAAAGAGAAAGTGATTTCACATCTAAGAATAATTGTGCATCGTGTAGTTGGGAATTACTTTATTTGTAATGAAAACAAAAATGCAATTTTGCTACCTCTTGTTGAAATTACCAGTGATGAATTATAAACTTTCTTGTTTGAGTTGATAGTGGTGTATTTTTAGGAGAGATTAATTTTTGGTAAATTAAGGGTTTGACTTTCTACTTGAAAAAATGTGGAAGATTTTTATATAAATATGGAGAAGTTGAAAGTAAAAACCTTTCTTTCCCAACTTTTTTTCACAGAAATTTTTGTCATTGACCTAAATTGCCTATACACTGGTGTAGCGACTCATTCATAAAGAATTTTCATGCAACCCTAGCTTACTCGATTCCAATCACGTGGGCCATAATAAAAATAACTCTAGATACCGTTAATATCGCTATTCGTTTTGCGTATTCTACAACGTGATGATTTGAATTGAGAAGCAGATGTTATTGTCATAAAATATTATTTTAGGTTGTGTATGCAAACACATGAAGGTTCACCGATGTTTGAATACTTTTGTGAATTCATTAGAATCTAGAATTATCAACAGTGTCAGTTTGTGGATAGAAATCAAAATATTTTACAAGTAGTTATATTTGTGGATCCTCTTTCGTGATATTAGGTGCGTTTCATTAGCATTATTCTATTCCAAATTTGTCCTTCCTACCTAAAGTTATCAAAATATGTCGAGATGAGATAGCGAATAACTTTTAGCGTGAATGAGTCAATCTGGAATACCTAACATCAAACAGAACGCACCTATCAACATTGATATAGATTGTCTAATAGTGAAAAATCATACGTATCCATCTTTTTCTCTTACATTTTTTTATATTTTGATTCACAAATTTGAATTACCCTTTCATCAATATTGAAATGCACATTTCTCTTTTACGTCTACTGTTGGTTTCTTCAAAATTTATTTTGTTTTTTCAATATTCCACAAATTGTTTTTGCCTTAGGTACCTTATACAACATTATACTTGTATTATCTCTTCTGAAACACCCTCATGAAGACGTAGTGTTTGTGAGCAGAAGGGTGTCATTTTAAACTCTTGTCAAAGTAAACAGTTGACTATTACTGGAGTTTAATCACAACACCAAACCGTTATTTTTAACACCTCGACACGTGTTTTAATCACCAAGTGATCATCTTCAAGAGTTTACTCATCCTCTTGAAGATGATCACTTGATGATTGAAACACGTGTCGAGGTGTTAAAAATAACGGTTTTGTTTTGGGATTAAACTCCAGTAATATTCATTACTACACCAAAGGTTCCAAACAGTGCATCACAAGAAAGTAAACAGTTAATAAATAAACTTTTGAATGTTATTTATTTTCATTAGTCTCCTTAGGTAGATCATAATAATCACAAAAAATGGATTCCCTGGATAGAGGATGATAACTATCTAGTAGGAATTGCAAAAGTTATCAAGGTTCCCATCATTATCCTACGTTTGGTTTTTTGGTGGTGTAGTAAGTAATTTTTTCATCAAATCAGAATCATATTTCATGTAGTTTTTTCATGATGATAACCCTCACAAAATGTTCAATCAACATAAAGTTCATTTCGTATTTATTTCTACTTGAATGATCAAATCACCAAAGGTATCAGGTACCCTCATAAGGAAACAATTTTACATTTTTTTTATTTGATATCAGGGAATTCCGAAATATTTTTGCTTCAAGATTCTCGATGAGTATTTGCGGGGTTGTAACATAAGAGGAAATGTATTTTGTTTTTGACAAATTACAGTCTATTTACCTATACGAAGTAGGTTTTCTAAATGGACCGTTGGTTTTCTCTACAACAAGTTTTTTAACAAGCTTTCGGCGGCATTCTCTCTATTATTCTGGTATTTTCCTACTTTCGGAAGTGAGTGAGGATAAGTTGGTTGAAAATCACAACAATTATTCAGAATAAAGTTCTTTCATTTCCTGATTTCAGTACATGGAATCAAAGTATCAATATTTTGGAAAAACGTGCGAAATAACGAGCAGTCAAAAACGATAATTTTGGTGTACCTATATACTACAAGAATGAGTACATGGATACACAAATAACGTTATTTATTATATTTCTGCTTTTGCATGGTAATTCTTTCTATTCTTGCACGCAGAAAAAGTGGTGGAAACTTGAACATAACCTATAAGGCTCAGGCAAGCCGTTGCACTTTCTGTAAGTTAGGTTTTCGATAATTTTAGCCAGCATATCTATGAGGCATACATAATCTGAAGATAATCATGAACCCAAGTATCTATTTTATAATGAAAAAGGACTAATTTTGATCTTGAATTCTAGTTTTTTTGCAAGCATATAACGGGGTCATAAGAGCCACCATTAGTGAAGCTAGAATTGCCCATCTTTACTCACAGTATATCAATAACAGTTCATCATTAGCATTTGGTGTTGTCATTTCTCTGAGCAACCAGTTTCAGTTTTATGTGAACATTGACTTATCCACTTGAGTGATGATGATTCTTCACAATAATTTCTACTTCTTTTAATATTCTTGAATATCATTTTCATCTTTGGAAAATTCATCCGAATATTTTGGTTCAAGTATCTAATTGTTTTGGAAAAAAAGCTTTTTGGTTTCATTCTTCTCCAACATCAAAGAAAAGATGTGGGAAAGACTTAAAGGTAGAAAGAAAAAAATACAATAAATTTCAGATAAAAACGGAAGAAAAACCCCGTTTGAAGCAACTACCTTCGCGTGAATATTGAATTGCATGAAAGGAAAAGATCCTTTTGAAACAACAGACTTTTTTTGAAGTCGCCAACTTGGTTGGTGAAACGCGCGTCGAGAAGAATATTGCAATTCCGGTGATTGGGACCACTGCTTTGGATACAAATCATAGGCATTCTATTTGAATTGAAAAGTTTATATTTATTTCCAAAAACTAATTTCTAAAAACTTATTTGTTATATAACTAACTCACTCATAAATGCTTCTGAATCGGCAAAACTATTTTATTTTTTGTGTCGTGAATATTCTTCATAATCGAAATTTCAAAATTCGACATTTCAAGATTTTTGCGCTTTCGTTTTTTTATTTTTATTTGAAAAAAGAAAAAAATGTTAGTTTTGTTGCTTGAGATTATCTTATACTGAATTCCATGTAGTGAATTTCATAAAGAAATAAAAATTCGCTATCCGAACAATAATCAATCGAAGCTAATGATTCATATTTTAGCTAACCTACACGTCCCTGTTTCATATGGGGAAAAACCGAGAACGGAAGATAAACTAAAATGTATAGTCATGTCGCATGGACTGGGTGGAAATAGGTTCCTTTACTCCAAAGTTTGTTGTGATTTGGCTTCACGAGGTTTTCTAGTAGCTTGTTTAGAACACAGGTAATATGGCGATATAGATTTCTTTGATGTTTGATTTGTGCCGATAGTTCTTTAAGAACCATCCATTATGAATTCAATGCAAATCAGTTGAATACAGTGTTGAAACCATTTCTTTGATCATTTCTATGAGCAGATCAATTCTATGTCATAATATCCGCATGTCAAGACTATATTAATAACTACACGAACCACCCAGGGAGCTTCATATGTATTCGCAGTTCCGTCAAATATTGATTCCCAGAATATTCACTACCTCATATCATTGAAGAATATGAATTGTCAACAGGGCCCCCGTAAGGGCTACTGGCGCCTGTGTGCAAAAAAGGATTTTGGCGCCCCTTAAGGCATTTTGGATCATGTTTTTTTATTTATTTTTTTGAAGGTAGGTAGGTGCTTGCAATAAAGCAAAAAACTGAACTTCAGAAGTCATATTTATTTGTNTTTTTTTTTGAAAATTATTGCAATTTTTGACCCTAGATTTTGGCGCCCCTAAAGGATGGCGCCCGTGTGCATTGCACACTTTGCACATATGGTAGCGGGGGCCCTGATTGCCGATCAATGAAGTGAAAACTATTTCTGGAATAATAATTGCATGATGAGCAGTGAATTAGCGCAAGTGGTTGTGCGCGCGAAACACGACTCGAAAGTTGTACTCCGTACCCAACTTTGATCAGAATATTTATATGGCTTTTAACGTGACTGATAGCCTGCGAATAACCATGATGCTCCCCAGGTACCTCGAGAATTCATTAATATTGCCTATATAGAAAAAAATAATTGAATCTAATTGAATCATGATGAATTGGTCAAGGCTATCGCTGCCAAGATTTTCAGTGTTAAATACTATTTACATTCAGATTTGAAGGCCGTCGTAGTTTGGAACTGCATCCTAACGTTTCACCAGCACGAGTGACTGGCTTCTTCAGAAGTTTATTCATCTTGATGATTCACCGATGACTGGTGATTTCTAGTTCGTAGATTGTATGTATGTTGACTCAGATAGTCCGCCTCTCTTGTTGATGCGTTGCTATTGACGGAAGTGTTATTACCTGTTAATGACGTAACATTGCATTGCGCTGTTGCCACTTCAGCATCTTTCAGTAGGGGATTCCAAATTCGGTTGAGCGTTAACGCGTCCTCATTTCTGTTGTAGTTTTTGTATAGGAAGCCATATAAATCCATACTTAATCATACGGAAAATTACAACAGAAAAGAGGAGGCGTTAACTGGATTTGGAATCCCATACCTACTGAAAGAGGCTGAAGTGGCAACAGCGCAATGTAATGTTACGTAATCAACAAGTAATAACACTTTGGCCAATAGCAACGCATCAAATAGAAAGGCCGACTACCTGGCCAACATAAATACAACCAAAGAACTAGAAATCACCAGTCATCGGTAAATGAAGATGAATAAACCTCTGACGAAGCACACCACTCGTGCTGGCGAAAGTTAGGATGCAGTTCCAAACTTCGACGGCCTTCAAACCCGAACAAAGATAGTAAGTAACACTGGGAATTGAATGATGATCAAGGAAGATCGGTTTGACAGTAGCCGTTTGATTAAGGAGTTCCACACATTGTGAATGTTGATTGGATTGCAACTCTGAAATGTTGGGATTGTCAGAGCGTATCGTCTGATTTGCACACGAAGTCGCACGTTAAAATGTGAGGCCTTGTTATTCGTTAGCTCATTTGAGTTTCCACTTCGTTCGTATGAAGATGACAGCTGCTTAACAACTTATATAAAGCGATCCAAATATAATGGAAAAATCATGGAAAATAAAAACGATCGATTATCGCCTAACCAGTCATCGACTTTATAGAAAGATAAGTACGAAATTTGCTCACAGTCGTTTTCATAGTCTTGTATATAAGTACAGTTATTCATGCCTTTTGACGATTTAATTAACAATCTTGAAAATTTGAAATTAAATTCGCCTCCAACTAACTGATATGAATATGGAGTTGAGTCTTTCGGTCGATTCAGCAACTTCAGCATAAAATGGCGTCTGCGATGTTGCATAAGCTCTTCTCTTTAACGTTAATACGATGTATTCGTATCAAAATAGTTTTCAGCCGTCGGTTTTGATACGTTAACTTTCAGTTGTGATACGTCGTTTGTCAGTTTTTTTTTAATTTAGAAATATCGTTGCATCCACCACAAGGGTAATTAGCAACATAGATATACTTATGATGCACTGTTTGGAACCTTTGGTGTAGTAATGAATATTACTGGAATTTTTTCCCAACACCAAATCGTTATTTTTAACACCTCGACACGTGTTTCGATCATCAAGTGATCATCTTCCTCTTTGAAGGAAGATACAACAAGTTTATTAACTTGTTGTATCTTGTGAGGAGTCAACCTCTTTTATTTTAATGAATTTTTCATTGTATTGACATGTTTCAAATAAATCCGAGTATGTTTGTGAAGTGACAGGTCACACCAAGAGCTGTTTTTATATTTGCACTAATATTGTACTTCAGTCGTTCATCCACGAAGATCAGACACTCCACCAAAAAATGTTTAACTGAAATTGGCCCCCACACGTATAACAGATTTTTTCTTCTTCCCTTTTCAGTAAGTGTTCGTGAGTATACTTTGTATGTCCAGTACGCAAACGAGTCATTATGATTTGTTGTTTTCGTTCTTTGGGGATGTCTTTCCATGGCTTGATGTCTGTTGATGGTTTCACGTGCGATTTTGTCGACTAGTTCATTGCCAGAAATCCCAACATGTGACGGTACCCACATGAATTGTAGCCTTTGGAAGCTCCCGTAATTGAGTTTGTCAGTTTTGATGTGTTAAATGTACGTTTTTGTCCGTGAACTGCCAGTTGAAACTTTCTGAAAATGGAACAAAATGGGTAAAAACGTAACTTGGTAATTTCAAACGTCAAAAAGTAACATTTTGGTAATGAAGTAACGCCAGGAATAATACTGTACTGAAAACAACCACAAACAAGACCCAATCTGAAAGGGGAGGGGGGGAAGGGCAATCCAGACAAATACCTAGAGCGGCAAAAATGAAGTGCGGTAGAATTAACGGCTCCGAACGGTCGCACTGAATCTTCAATTTTCTTTCTAGGATATTTTATTGTTGTAATTCTGTAGTCATCGAATTCTGTCTTTTATAGCGGGGTTTGAATGTCATCAACATTTTTTGATAATCTATAAGTATTGAACGAAAAAACGTATCGAATGGAAATTTGGCTACAAACGCGGCATGTGAAATGTGCCGATTTTCGATAAATCTAAAAAAATATAACTTTCTTAAAAAAAATTCAGGCATAATAGTTGAGCTCCATAATGTCTATGCAAAATCAAATTCAGGAACCCCCTCAATTTCACATTATGGCGAAAAAAAAGGGAAATTTAAAAAAATATCTATAGGACAAAATTGGTTTGGCTCTTCTTCCTATAAAATGAAAAGTTCAATCAAAACTAGTTTTCCATTCTTGATGGTTTGGTCATTGAAATTAATTAGAAAAATCGAATTTTTGTCACTATTTTCCAAAAAAGCATATATCATAACTTCTATTCTTAGACAATTCTTCAGCAATAACGGTATTCACATGAGTTGAGGAATGTAAAAAAGTTGGTGATATCCAAAAGTAAAAACGTTTGATTTCCTAACCTCAAATATTAACAAATCTTGAACAAAATTACATTACCTCACTTATCGAAAAATGTATGGAATATGATTTGTTCTCCGCAATGAATGTTTTTCAATATTTCATCAGTACGGGAAATATCCGAGAAAATGAAATATTTTTTTCCTCCCTGTATCTTGAAAGCCAGTGTAGATAGGTACCCAAAATTTCCGTAGGACAGATTTTGTTCACGTTAACATGTTATACCAAATTTTCTGTTCAACTTCCCACTAATTCAGAATGATATAAGTGTTTTTTTTGAGAATGATATGTTTTTTAATATATGTTTGTACGAGATCTACAGTTGATATGAAATGTCAAAAACTTAGGCAACTAAAAGAGATTTCGAAAAATGTCACATAACTTATTTTGAAGATATCTACGAGTTCTATGATAAAATTCAAATACCTGTTTTTCAAAAAAGCCGTTACGGTTTTTTGAACGGGTATCGTCAACTTTTGACAGCTCTAGCTCTGCTAATTTTCAAGATATCCTCTTAAACGATGGATCATTCATTCATGGTTGATATTAATTAGATCTTACCACTAGGGAGAAGAATTTATTCAGCATCGCCTACGCCATTTTATACTGACGCTGCTGAATTGACCTAAAGACACATCTTCATTTTCATTACGGTCAGTTGTTTAATTTGACATAGAACACCTCTGTATTTAAGAAAAATTTTCATTTTGGGAAATGAAGGTTTTGGCTTTCTACATCTCCATCTTGATACAAAAAATGTTAGAATCTTCCAAAGAAAGGAAGGAAGCAATCAATAAAAAAAAATAATTCTATACAAAGATGTGTGGATCATGCAAAGAAGTAACTTTCAGACACAAACTGGAAGAAAAAGCCCTCCTGAAAGAGCTGCTTTCATATAAACATTGAATTACACGAAAAACATTTTTTTTCGAAACAAATACTTTTATATGAACACTGAATTTAACAAAAAAACACTTTTCTCTATTCAGATTGTATTCCAAACATTCGTTATGGAATTGAATCAGATATCATTCACAGGATTCCTACACAATATAATAAATGAAAGAGGTACAATTTCACTTACATGGATCACTGTCATCCTCACTGGTAGACTCCCATGTTTCGCTGTAATGTTATCCAGATTTGGTACTGAAGAACGTAAGACACTTGAGTAAAGAGGAATGCGCAGGTAAAAAAAACAACAAGCATTTTCTCTGATTCTTATAGCGACTATCTACTACAAATAGGAATAATGAAATACCATTTTTATTTCTCATTGTTTCCTTTTACTTGTTTGTGTTAGAATATGTTAATCGTTAACCAGCTGTCGCCCCTAACCAAACTAAAACGACGATTAACGAGGTCTTACCTTCCAACGTGCGATTCCCAGTACCGGTTGGATGATAGGAAGTGAAAATCGATCGGCCGGACTCCCGGCTTAAACCTCCGGTTCAGACAGCGGTCGATTGAGTGGGTGGAGCAAACCACCCGCCCCAATCCAACCGGTTACCGTCCTACCCAATTAATATTTTCTGCTTATTTTCACACAGAGATAACTCAGCCAGCTACACCTATTACTACGATAGTGACGAAAAAGCAAAACTAGACAATAGAACAGTGATTGAATTTCAACACATTCCATTCGGACAAAAACACTATCAATCAAGAAATAGTCAGATTAGAGTAAGAGCTTCCGAGTGTTCTAAAATTATGGATGTTTTGAAAAATTTGAATGAAGGCAGTATTCCGCACAATGTACTAAAATCTGTCCATGGAAAAAAAACAGTTGATTTTGATTTGAAGGAATTGATTGGCAAAATAGATACTGAGAATTTTACATTAATGGGTCATTCCTTTGGTGCCGCAACTGCCTTATATACGTCATCATTAAGAGATGATGTCAGGTACGGTATTAATTATTCTGCAGTATAAAATCAAAAATAGTAGTTATCATGTTATTTATCGGTCTAATGAGAACACTTTTTCCACACCAGAACTGAAGTACTTTCCTTTGTCTCGCGTTTCGCTAATCAAGTTAGCATCATCAGGAGATATCTTGGATGGTTTTAGTCATTTCCTGAAGCTAACTTGGTTCACGAAACGCTCCTCAAGAAACAGTGCCGTAGTTCAGGTGAGGGAAAAGGGTTTCAACCAAATATACGTATACTTCATTTCTTATTCCACTTTTCAATATGAAGAACAGTTTTAGTAAAAGGGATGTAAGAATTATATGTGCAGCAGAGTACTTTTCAGGCAAAACAACAAGAGTCTCCCAAAAGACTTTCCTAGAGAGTTCAAAATATTCACCTAGATCTTCTCTACCCAATGACTGTAAATTGTTTGCTACATGTTACATTCATGGCAAAACTCATGTTTGATATGCCCCCCACAACATTCAGTTTTTATTGGTTAAACTTATTTTCGTCTCCTGCTCTGTCTGATGCAGTGCCTAAAATGCTTTAGAAAACGTGGAATATAGTTGAACACTTTTTTTTTTATTTTCCCTACCTTCGATATCAAATTTGTCATGTTGTAAATGTTATGAAAATGTTGAATAAGTTTTTCAGAAAACTATTCGTTTAGCAGAAGGTACAAAAATATAATAATAATTAATGGATTTCAAACTGATCTTCAGAACTGTTCCAATAGATCGTATCATCCATTCTCAGATTCAACACATGCATGCAGCTCATGCAGGTTTTAATTCCAAGATTATATTTTTGGATGCGAGTTCTTCTGAAATCTCATTCTGATCTGAGCTTTGAAATCACTCGTTAAGTTCACGTTCTGCTCTGACAAAATTGGTCCCGTTATCTGTTATTTCCTTTGGCTGGCCTCTTCTACACATAAAACGTCGGACAGCAAGTATAGCAGATTTCTTATCTAGTTTGGAAAAGTACAATATGAATTGTACGATGGGTGAGACAAGTAATGACATACTTGGCAATTCCTAAAGCCCTTCTTTACAGCTGATCATATGTTTGTAATCTGAAATTTGGAACGAAGATTGGTGACCACTGCCTCCAAACTTATGTATTTAGCTTCTTGATATTTATTTATGAAGAGCTCTGTAAATTTGTGCTTCAGAACTAACAGAATAGGGTTTTGGAACTCAAATGATATATACGATTCTTTTGTATCTGGAATCTTACCGCCCATGCATAATATAAAATCTTCGTATCAGATAGTCTGGTTCAAATGTACTTTTTTTTTGCTTATTTTTGTGAAATTTCACAGACGGGTCCAAAAATTACAACCAAGGTGTCATTGAATTCGTAATTTTACCTAGAAAGTTTAAGGAAAGGTCCGAAAAGGCGCTGAAAAAAATTACAAAAGTTATAAACAATTAAGTG